TATATATATATATTTATATATTTTTTCATAATATGATTTTTTTTCCTTTTACCACTTTATTCCTTTTGCAAGTCAAACTTGTAAACTCAAAAAAGAGTAGCAAGAAGAAAATTGAGAGTTGGAAATGAAACATAAATGCAGCTAATTCTGTTACAACCCAGATGATGAAAAAAGTTATCATTGTTAAGTATTGATGTTTGATTAAAAATACGTATTTTGAATGAGGCTAAAGGTTCTTTTCCAATAACAAGAGTGGGAGGGGGGAAAATATTGAATGACAAGTTCATAAACCCCATTTATTCTAATTCAGAAGTCATTGGTACAATAGAAGTTTTTTTCCAAGTGTTCAATTTCCATATACCCTGGGGCTGACAATGGTTCTACAGGATAAGGCATGATATGAAGGATCTAATAGTAACCTCTACCTAGAGGAATATGGGAATCTAGTGGCTTTGATGGGCATTAAACTAGACATGTTTCATGTAAATCCTTTGGCTGTTTTTGATTTGCATGTGCTTGGGGTTTTCAGTGAGATTGGTATTTGCAAAAAGTAGAATGCTTCCTTGCCTTTGGAACAGAATGCCAGAAGAAAATTCTCTTGTCTCTGCTCCCATGCTTCAGGGCTAGAAGGCAAAATAATTAATTCCACACAACTAGGAATAAATCACCCAGGTTGAAACATGATAGTGCCTGACAACTGGTAATGTTGGAAAAAGATTTCAGTAAACATTATTGATAGGAAATAAGCATGCAGAGCTGATGATTCCAGTGTATGTATGTGTACCTTTACAGTAAGCTTAGTATTGCTAACTTAGCTATAGATTGCTGGCTTTCCCCTGCAAAATATGTATATATGGCATCAATGAAGATTGTTAAGAATCTGATAATAGTATATATCTTTTATTTTTCCTTTTTGGAAAGATGGTGCAGTAACATACATCTTCCATAGGTTTGTAGAACATTTCATGTGTCATCTTCTGAATGTTTCAAGACTGAAGGGTGCTTGTTCAATCCTAGTCCCTTTATGCTTTTCAGAGGGCTTGGAGATATCATTGCATTTTATTTCCTCTCGTGTTGGGGAGAAAAGAAAGATCCTGTATTGGATATCTGTTCTATTTTTATCAGTTATTTGAGAATTTGTTCAGAATTACTTTTTTTTTTTTTTTTTTTTTTTTTTAAGGAAGATTGGTAAAACAAATGACATTATTATGTATTCTTTTTTTCTAAAGAATTCTCAAACTACTTGCAAGGTCATAAGAGTGAAATCCATTAACTGTATGGACACAGTGTAGGCCATTATTTGTTTTCTTCAGATTACATAATTTTGGAGAACCTATAGTTTACTTATTGTTACAGTGGTGCAGGTTTTGGACAAAACTGGAATAAAGGCAATTATTGTTGATTGTGATTTCATAAGGAAATTGTGCATCTATTATTTTACAAATTTTTCAGTTTTGACACATTGTGCAAGTTCCAGTTTTCTGTAGTTTAAAGTTTCCCTTGTTTGGGAACTATCAGTTATCTGACCCTGCAAAAGGCATAGTTGTAGATAGAGTGGGGTTTTTAGGTAGTGCCTATCTACTAGTATGGCTTAGAACATTTAATTGTACCTGCTGTTCCCTGGATGATGATAAAACCCACCATTCATTACTCCAAACTGGAAAGTATGCATGTAGACTGAAAGAATAGACAGGTTCACACTTCCAGCACATTACACTATTATTTTTTTATTATTACATTATTTTTGTATACAGCGGGGTGCAGTTGCAAGGGGAAGATGCAGCAGTCATATATAGTCCTATTGTGCAGCTGTCGTCTTACTCTGGTCACAGTAAACAGTGTTACTGAAACATGAAAATATATGCTGTGCTTGTGCAAATGGTTGTGCTGCCTTGGCAAGCATCTTAATATCTGCCAAAGCTGAATTATGTGGCTGTCTCTTGTGTGTGGCTTGCTCACAGCAGAAAGTCACTGCACTATCCCCTTTTCAGCCAGTTGGAGCCTTTGCCAGAGCGTTTTGCCTCCAGAAGTAAACATGAGTCTAAGAATAGCTCAGCCTTCTTTGTAGTATATTTTCATGGTTGGCTGTCCAAACAGCCAGCCTGTCTAGACAGCTGACGACACTGAAAGCTCCTAAGGTCAAAAGCAGCCACGTAGGCTACTCCTGGGGATGCTACCTCCTTGGTAGCTATACGTGTGGGCGCCAGGAGAACTTCTCAGTCAGAACGAGTAGGGTTCTTTCTGAGGCTCCATGGGCTATAAGCATGTGTTAATAAGGCATTAAATGATAGATAGGAGTGCATAAAGAAGGAATTTTCAATTTTTGCAGTTATTTTTGACTCGCATGATGTGTCGCTGGCTATGGTGTTTTGGTGCTCTTTAAAGTTTGTTTTGCAGTGTCATTTGCATTGTGCCCAAATTTCAATTTTGAGCATAACAGAGACCTGTGACTTTTTTCTAATAGAAACTCATGATAAAGATAAACCAAAATCAATTTCAGTCCATTCTTTAAACAACAACAAAAAAACCTTATGTAGTTGTTCTGCTATTAGTAATGCATAGATTCTGTACATAGCTGGATTGTAAGTTTACACATGCTTGCATAAGAGAAACAAAAAAACTCGTATGAAGAATCTTGTATCAGAAGACTCCTTCCATGGCCATGGGTTACAGAAGAACATTAGCAAGGGTTTGTTTGGGTCTGTTTCTTGCGATGTGTATGTATGCATAAAATGGGTTTAGCATTAGATCTTCTCAGTCTGTCAAAAAATATATTCAGAACTTGTAAAATGGATCAAATTCGACACCTGCAGGAAAGAAGGCTAATATATTTTCTACCCAGGGAATGGTGCTTTGTGGTAATCCATCGTACAGTAAATTGCCATATAAGATGAAAAAAGCAACATGCCAGTACAGTAAAGAATGTGACAGTACCAAAGGAAATACTTAAAATAATACTTCTTTGCAATTTCTTAATTATTAAGTGCCTTTTTTGGTTTACATATACAGTCATGTTTTTCTCAGCTTTTTTCCTTTCATGTTGTTAATGCATTGATCATCCATCAGTCACACAGTGCCCAGCATCCTTAGAAATGAGGAATAATACTCTTCCTTTCTGTTGGTCTTGTGCATATTATTTAGACTTTCTTGCTCTGAATTCTTTCCTGATTATCAGAAAGGTTACTGATTCCTTGTTAATGTTTGATGGGCTTGGTTGCATAGCTTGATGGTTTGATGTAGGATTACAGGAACTAGGCCTTTGCTCAATTCCTTTGCTTTAATACACTCCCAAAATGATTTTATATGCTTTTGCTTGCTGTTGTCTTAAAATTTATTCCTGCTTTTTAAGATTGAAAATCTACAAGAGCAGTTAAGAGACAAGGAGAAGCAAATGAGCAGCTTAAAGGATCGAGTGAAATCCTTGCAGGCTGACACCACAAATACCGACACTGCCTTGACTACGCTGGAAGAAGCACTTGCAGAAAAAGTGAGTACGGAAAGCCTAAGCCTTTTCTTTCAGAAGCTTCTTCTACTAATAACCTCTCGAAACCTGGCTTTTCCGTGTTTCCTGGACTCTGTGTACAAGACATCTCTAATACGAAGGGAGGAGGGATGAGTGTGTGGAGGCTGTAGCGTGGGTCCCTCACTAGAGGGCACTGCAGGATATCCGTAGAGCCAGGTCGGGGTACTCCTCCATCCCCTGGTACCATGAGGAGGGCAGGAAGGCAGAGCTGAACCACAACCTATTGCCTTGATCATTAGCTACTTGTCATCATTTTGTGTGGTGGTGAAAGAACTCTGTGTTCTCACAGTTGTCTCTTTTCATGGTGTATCTTTGGTGTGATTGTGGAATGCCTTACATTTCAACTGTGTATTCTTCTGCTTTTTGATCTTTCTTTCCTGCCTACCTTTGTGCCTGCCTTCCTTCTTCTTTGCTCAGATATTTTAATAGTAATTTTATTTTTCAAGTTTTGTTGTGTGAAATGGAGTTTTAATTCACAATATTGAATCAAAATGAATAGTTATCCTGATAACTAACATTTCGTTATGCTTACCCAATTCTCAGGAGACAGCTGACTGAAGGAATAGCCTTGCCTATTCTGTTTTAGTGAGGCAACCTTTTGAATTTACTGTGCATTTTTTCTTGATTCCCAGAGAACCAGGGTTACAGCTCTTTTAGTCCGTCAGATTCTATAAATATAAACCTATAGTAAAGCCTTCCAGACATTGGGGAATTCACTTGCATCCCTTCAGATTCCAAGATAACCAAAGCTCTATTGATACCTGATCTACTTGAAAGTTATTTTGCTTCCCTTTCTTACTGTATATTGATCCCGGTGTCACATATGCAGTACAGCCCTTCCTCTCAGCAGGACCACAGACTTAACTGTACATTTTGGAAAAACAAGATTTAAGTAAGGAAGGAAGCAATATATAATGTATCCTGGTCTATGTTAATTTTGATTACCAGAACAAGATAAATTGTGTTGGACTGTAACAGTACAGTGAGCTTTCAGAGATACAGAAAGCCTGGTATTTCTTAGCAGTAAATCCATAGATTTCTCAAGTTTCCTCCTTTTTAGGATCTGTTTTACAACCATTCAAAAAAATAGAAAATGGCAGTGGTCTAGTGGGCGGTGTTCCTGCCCATGGCAAGGGGGTTGGAACTAGATGATCTTAAGGTCCTTTCCAGCCCTAACCATTCTGTGATATCCTACGCTCCTCCACATCTACAGTGTGTAAGAAGTGTTGTGATAAGAACTTTCAGATGTTGAACTTAATAAAAGGGGTTTTTTTTTTCATGGAGCGCTTTCTTTTCTTAGGAAAGGACCATTGAGCGCCTAAAGGAGCAGCGTGACAGAGATGAACGAGAAAAACAGGAAGAGATCGACAACTACAAAAAAGACATTAAGGACCTGAAAGAGAAAGTCAGCATTTTACAAGGAGATCTCACAGAGAAAGAGGTTGACCAGCAGAATGAATCTATTGTGTTAGAATTGTTTGTTGTATTAGATTTGAGGTGAAGAAAACCATTCCTTCATAGTAATGGTCCTTCAACAAATTTATCTGATAAAATGGATTGTTTGAGAATTTTTCCAAGCATAAGTATTTCAGAACTACCTGTTTATGGGTAGCACACAGTCCCCTTTGCAGCAGTTAATCATAGTAGTAGCAAATGAGTGATGGTCATTGATATCATTTACTGGAGCTCTGCTTATAGACAGCTGAAGGCAGAGAACAAGCTTGTTCCTGTCTAAATACAGGGAGGAAAGGACAGAGGCTGATCAAAGCTGGAGGTGCTAAAAGTATGCAGATAATGTTTATTCCTTTATGCAGACAATACAGCTAGCTCATTCAACTCTGAGAAGTGTTCTGTTTTGATAATTAAATTGCTTGTTGGTAATGAGACAGTTTGTTAGAGAAATTAACCTAATTACATTAGAGAAATATAAACATTCTCCGTTCCTCTCTTGGAATTGTAACATTCAAGTTTACTTACTATCTTTTTCAAAACTCAGTTGAAGTAGAGCCATACAAAAAACCCCACCAAAACTCATCCAGGAAGTGCTAAGATTTTGTCTGCTAGAAAGGCAACATTTGACAGGAAAAAAGTGACATAAAAATGGTTCACAAAACAGGAAGTTGAGATCTCTTTTGGTGATAGGTAGCATGGATCGGTTTCACCTCATACCAGTGGTATACAGAAAAGCTTTGAACACCATCAGTTTTAGATACAGCAGCCGAATCTGATATGCATATATGATTTTTAAATAGCATTTTAATTAAAACCAATTTTTCTTAACCATGACTGAAACATGAAATGCAAATTCCCGTTTACAAATCTTTAAAAATGATTTTGAAACTAATTTACATGAGGTTTTATTCTGATCCTGAAAACCTGAATTAAGCTGTCTTAAATCAGTGTCATGAACATCCTGACAGAATACATTGTTCTAAGTTGGGACCCGAACAGTGTGAAGGGACAGGAAGAAAATAAAGCTAAAAAAGAAACTAGCTATTGCACATAAAGAGTATTTACTTGATAGTTATTTTACATCTTTTATTTTAGTCATCCTTACTGGATCTGAAGGAACATGCTTCATCCTTAGCTTCATCAGGACTGAAGAAAGATTCCAGACTCAAGACACTGGAAATTGCATTGGAACAGAAAAAGGAAGAATGTTTGAAGATGGAAACTCAATTGAAGAAGGTAATCTCACTTCATATTTAAATATGTGGTGTAAACATTCAGTGTCAGACAAATTTGCCATGCCTACACAGAAAACTTTGGGTCTTCAGTTTGAATTCTGTGACTTGGTTTTCAGCAAGAACTGTGAAGTTGTGTCTGTGCAAACCATACTACAAGATAAGCCAATCAGAAAGTAACTTTCAGACACTGGTGCTAATTTCAGATGTCATTTACGTGCAATAAAAGTGCTGTTGACTTTTTTTTTTTTAACAGGTACTAGGAATTAAAGACTTAGTCTGCTTCACTACAGTTCATAGCAGTACTTGTGCCATTAAGCTGGTGTAACAGCTAAAAAATTAACACCTAAATGTTTCACATATAAATTATCAATGCTTGTAGGTGTTAATGTGACAAATCCAGAATCATGATTGGCCCAGCCCATAGGAATGCGTAAAAACAAATTAAGAGAATGTGTCACCAGTGAAGTGTGTGATCTTTTGTTTTAATCTCATTGCCAGTCGCAGCTGATACACTGCTAGGATTTTTCTGTTCAGAAAAATAATACTCTCTTACAAGCAAGTTAATTCATTTAAACAGAATCTTTGGGTTTGCACTGCAAGCAAACATCTTTTGTGTTTGCATTGCAAGCCTTCTTTATTTTAGCTCTGAGTAGCATAAATACTGCACTGTTTAGAGGAACACTGATTTAACTTTTTGATTTTAAAAGAGCAGGTGATGATGAAGCACAAAACACACTAATCAAAATAGTGATAACACTTCTACTTGTAAAATTAGAACAAGACATAAGGCAACATGATTTTTTAAAGACACTTATGTCTTGGTTTATAGTGTTCCAGCTGTTTCTTTACCTTTACTCAGGAAAAGAAGTAGTGCCCATGCTGTAGTTTGGAACTCTGTCCTAGCTCCTCAGTTGAATGTGAGATCAAATATTGAGTTATCAGTTAAGATCTGTTTAGGATTTCTGTTGCGTGGGTACAAGGTGGCTGTTAATGCACCTGAGAACTCTGTGTAAGTGAAATTTACGCATATACTTATATCTAGACCCACCATTGCCCTTCTTTTTATTTCTATTATGCAAAAGAAACAGTTCTGTTATTCAGCATCAACAAAATACAGCAGCAAAAAAAAGATAGTTGTATACATTGAAGTGGTCTCACAGGCTGTTTTCAGTGTACTGTAGAGTGGATGAGTATTTCAGAAGTTCTGAAGGACCCTTTCATTTGAATTCTCTGTCATGAATTGCAGTTTCACCCTTTGTCAGTGTGTTACTAGTAAGAAGTTGAGGAATATATTGTAGCTAAGATTTGCCAGAGATTGTTATAGCAATTGGATGATAGTATTAGTATGTAGGTAGACAGCTGTGGTGGAGAACATTGTTACAATTACTTTAAGGAAAGAAAAAAAAATAAAGTTACTAACTGTGAGAGCACATAACAAATAGGTTATGAAAAACCAGTTGTGGAAATTCAGTTAATTAGGGAATGTGTCTGTTTAACATTTCTTAATGTACTGCTTTCCGCAGCTTCCACTGAGATAACTTTACTCACTATAAGCAGCAAGTATATCAGTAGTGTAAGTGGCTGTGGAGGTTGACCAAAATCTGGTCAAGCACTGCTGGCTAAAAGATGAACGTGCAGTTAATTTGCACGGTGATGACAGCAGTTTGTTATAATTCCTTTAGGCCTACTTCTGCTTATTCCATTTCAGAGAGGATTGTGCTTACTAGCTAGTATCCAGGAACATTGCATAAGGCACTCAGCCACTTCATAAGACCATATATTTTTTTTAATCTAATCTCTTTATTTTTTTTTTTATTTTTTTACTTTTTCAGGAAATAATAAAAAGGGTGAATTATTCTCCCATGACGCTTTTCATGAGGGTTAAAATGGGAAAATAGCTGAAATGTTAAGAGCACTATTAGTTGTACAGGACAGCTATGGGACAAATAACTCTATTCCTAATTTGGTTCCAAAAAAAATAATGAATATAAATTCATTTTCATGCAAATACAAATAGAGTTGTATCCTCCCATCCAAAGGAGCTATCAAAATAATTCAGTCAGGATAGTTTCAGTTTTACAAGTAAAGAAAATTGATAGCCTGCTATTACCTATTTGCAGTATAAAGCCCTTCGATAAAACTCTGAGTATCTGGTCCTCTGCTTCAAGCGTTATTGCTTACTAGGACATTTGGACCATTGTTTCCTGTGCGGAGACCCTGAAGTGCTCCTACTCACATCCTACAAAATCATAGATACCTTCTTCCTTTTTTTAAAATACTGTGTCATACTGGGCTACTGCATTCTTTTATTCAAGGGGAAATTAAAATTCAATTGACAGATATACAAAAGAGCCCACTTCTACCACTGATCCTCCTTGCTTTCTAGAACCAAGTCGGGGTTACCCTTAGTTACTCAAGAAAAAGTAGTTAGCAACCACTTGGATGTTTTATACTTATGACTTTTTAGATATTTCTTTAATAAGTTTAGATATTACTTTAATAACCATTTTCCAGCTGGTTTTAATTTAACAATGTATTTTGTCACTTGCAGAAAAGTAGAAAAATGTATTTTTAAAAGGCTTTCTCTCTTTAAATACATTTCAGATATTTATTCAGGTAGTCTGAAATTTTCAAGGTGGGTTAATTCCTTGTCCTCCTTGAAACAATTATGAGAGAGAATCCAGCTTCTAAAACCTCAGGTTTACGCATCTGCATTGTTAACCATTGCAGGTAACTGTCACAATTAACCTTAAAACTAATGGCTCCAAAGATCATTCAATTTAAAGCTGAATTAGAAATTTATTATGTTGAGTTCTATTACACTGTCTTAGCACTCCTTTGCATAAGACACGCAGGAAGGACTCTCATGTACCTCTTCACAGCAAATGGCAAAAAGCTTATTCTTTTAGGTTATTTCTCTTACAGTTGGAATGGAGATGTGTCCAACATCAATCTTGTTTCCCTTGCCTCTTATTTCCACTGAACAGTTTCAGTACTTTCAGTTGAATCTCTTAGCATTAGGAGTTTAAAAGCTGACAGAAGAGACTGAATTGGACTACTCTTAAGCCATTAGATAAAAAAGATTTGGGCAGGCCTTGGAAAAAACTCTTGCTAATGTCTAAACAGTGAACCTTTGAGAAATCGTGAAGAGTGCAAGCTTCCACTTCTTCTGTAAAAGGAATTTAACTTTACACCAAAGTGAAATATTATTAAACAAATGGAGGGGGGTGTGTGTGCTGAAAAGTTACTGGTGTTATTTTTCTTTCCATGTAAGAAGTCTCCAGTATCTGACTCGAGGTGTCCACTTTTCTTTGTTACTGTTCCTCTTCTTACTAATGACTATTTTATATTGATCCCAGTCTCAGCAAATAAAACTGCAGTGTTTTTCATAATTGGAGTTGGGTTTTTTAATAATGATGCCATGGTTATGTAAATCATTGCTTCTGTGCTTAGTTGTGATCCTGCTGCCAGCAGGAGATACTATGGGAGATTCTGAATGCTGAAAACAAGCCATAAATCTGTGTTGAGTTTACATGGCCTGGTGTCCTGCCTCAAATAGTCTCCTTTTTTGCTGAGTTGGAATCATTAGAGGGAAATCACACACAGGGGGTTCTCTCCCCGTTTTCTGTGAAGTGTTATTTTTCCCTGTGGTGGCTTGTTTGCTTCCCTCCCCCCCTTTTTTTTTTAATTGGGAAACTCATTCTTCAACCTTCTTTTTTATTGTAATAGTTTTATAGCAAAAAAAGTTTTCTTCTGGTTGTTTTTCTTCAGGATACAAGCTTTTTCTGTCTTCTCTTTCCCATTCAGTATACTCTGTTTCATTCTGGTTTTCCTATCTGGGGGAGACCAACTAATATTACAATTTGTTACAACAAAGATGAGCAGATTTTTGTCTGTCTTCATTTCCAGTGCATAGTTTTCCTACCGATCGGTATTTTCCTTACTTGAAAGGGATCAAGGTTAGAGAAAAGAAAGAGTCCAAAACCAAATGTTAACAAACTTCCCCTTGGTGCATTCTAGGAACTTTTCATGAGAGAATGTTAGCAGTAATTCTCTGCCAGGAAAATACCTCTAGATTCAACAGGCTTACTCAGAGGGTGCTTTTTTTTTCTGCTGTGGTATTCTACCTTCAGGTTCAGGAGGATAGTATCTTTAAAAATGCAGCAAAAAATAACTGAAGTCTTGACCCAAATTCTATGTTTCACAAAGTTTAGCTCAGCTAGTCTAATACGGGCTCTGGTGCTTTTATTTTTGTGAACATGAATTTCCTGCCACAACTGAATACATTACTGGTGATATTGGTAGATAAAACAGAAATACCTTTTTTTGTTCTCAGCTGATGATCTTTATTTCTTCAAAGAAAGGATGGTAAATGATGTATTCAGCATAGCAACCTAGAAAGAAAAAGGCTACCGTTGAAATCAGGATGCCTTTTAAAAATAAAAGTAAAAACCCAGCAAGTGCGTTCAGTGTTCTGATAGTGTTAGTTACTGAATTAGTTTTCTAAACCATCTAGCTGTCTTGTAATTGATGTAAGTTAAGCACTAGAAATTAAAGTCCTTCTCAACCTGTAAAACCCAAACATAGGGCTACATTAAGTGTTTGAGGACTAAGAAATCAAGGTCAAGTTTGGAACTTGCACAAGGGTAACTCACCATGTTTCTCATGTTTCAAAAGCTCATTAGTAATGCATGCTAAAATCACAAATTAAGATTCTGTTGTCTTAGTAAATTAATGTTGTGGTTATTATTTTAAATTCTTTTCTTGTTACATCTTTTCTTTTTCTCTCTCACACTGTTCCTATCCCCAACTTTCCCCATCTTTTCCTGTCTTCTTTCTCCCTTTAGCACCCTGAGGTTTTATTGGGTCATCCATCCAAGCCAGTAAGTTCCCTGGCAAACTGAGAGGCTGTTGCCAACTCCATTTAATTTTCTGTGTTGCATGTGTATTCACCTGTGCATTATATGTTGGCCAACATAGAGTATATTGATGAATTACTTT